CATATTCACAACGTTTCGGTCTTTGTACGCTCCGGCTTTCTTCAGGCTTTATTTGTTTGAATTCCGAACACAGAATAATCAATCTATATGTTGCCGTTTCTTCCGCTTGACTATTCTGGGTTCGGTTCGAACTTCAAACAGAAATCACCTGAAGAAGGCCAGAGCGTACAACGGCCGAAACGTTGTGAATGTGACAACAAAGAGGAGTCTGAACAATGTAAATCGTGTAAATACTGGCACCATTTGTTTTCCTATATTGCAACCATTTTCTTTAAACTTCGCATTTTATTGATTTCAGATGAAAACGTGAACATTTTCCGTTTTAATTCAATGAAAGTTTTACTTTCCAAATTGTTGTTTATAATTATAGTTCAGATATATGAAATAAAGTCGGTATTTTTTTTGTAAATGACGTCAGGAAGATATAGGTTAAACTGATGTCTTTTTGCCATATACTACAACTATTTTGCTTAAAATGTGTATTACTTATTGATTTCAGATGAACACTTGGAAAATGTCCAACGTATTTCAGTGAAATTTTCACTTTTCGAAATTATAGTTAATAATTAGTTTAAGTATAAGGGGAGAAAAAAACTAGACGCTCATTTAATCTAACGCCAAGAATATGTGGGTTAAACTGACGCCTTCTTTTGCCAGAAAGTGTGACCATTTTGCTTAAAGTTCGTATTTTCATGATTTCAGATGAAAACATGGAATTTTTCCAATATATCTCAGTGAAATCTTCGACAAGAGAGTTGCTAAGTTATGAAAGATTTCTTCTTCTTCTTCTTCTTTATGTCATAACCCTTCAGGACATGGGAGATCGTGGCTCTCCACTACTTCCTGTCTTTTGTAGCTCTTCGTAAAGTTTGTCTTTTTGCTATCTCTCCTAATCTCTGTTCTGGCAACCATTTAGACGTTAGTTCGTTCTTCTCTTCTGTGTGCAATGTCCCTTCAGGGCGTGAGCGATCATGGCTCTCCACAATTACCTGTCCTATGTAGCTCTTAGAAAATGTTGTAACTTTTTTATATCTTTCCTAATCTCTGTTCTGCCAAATATGTACACAAGCCTGTTCCTTATTGTGTTGTGTCGCTTCAAGACGTGCCGATCATGGCTCTCCACAAATCTCCTGTCTTTTGTAGCGCTTAGTAAAGTTTATCTTTTTACTACCACTCATAATCTGTTCTGTCAACCATTTACGCAAGCTCCTTCCATAGATTATGCACAACTTTCTTCTTCTTCTTCTTCTTCTTCTTCTTCTTCTTCTTCTTCTTCTTCTTTCATGTGACGTGTCTTTTTACGACGTGGCCGATCATCGCTCTTCACAAATTACAAATTCCTGTCCTTTGTAGGTCTGAGAAAATTTTTTTCTACCTCTCCAAATCACTGTTCTGTCAACCATTTACACAAGCTCATTAGATAGACTATGCAACACTTTACTGTCTGTGTTGATTCAATGTGTCCTGTGAGTGTCAGATTTTCCAAGCCGTCTTTCCTCATTACGTACCCTAGAGATTTCAACTGTTTCTTTCTGACGTTAACATTTTCTCTAAAACTTCATCGTTGCTCTCATGTCCAGTCCATGTTTAAGAAGTTATTTTGAATTAAAAAAAAATCTTTAAAATTTTATTCAGTTTTCTTTGGAAGTAACTTAATCTGATCATTTTTTTTTTTTATAAATTTATATTTGTCGATGTCACACCTTCAATTCCTCAGCGACACACGAGGAGTTAAGCAAAAAGATATGCTACAAGATTGGAAAACAAAAAAATCATAGCTAGATACAGAACAGTCTTACGCATCTTAATTGAAATGGTTAAATGATATTGTAATACAAATTTTAGCTAAGAAATGGCGTAAAAACTTAGAAACTAGCTAGACTCTTTTGGTAATTGAATAATGATGGGACGAATTAAGATGAACTAGATGACGTTTCTTTTGTTCACGTCATTCAAAAGAGCCAGATGCTCATTGTAGCATTGCACATTCTGTGTGGGACCAGGTTCCAGCGATTCGTAAAAATATAATATGGAGTATAAAAATATAAGTTCGTTTCGGACAAGGAAATTGACGATGCAAATATAGAACTAAAACGGGAAGTTCTATCGTATATAAGATATAAACCAGACCAACAAATTTAAAGAACTACTGAAAAATTATACATCAGCATTTGACAAAAACTTTTATGAATATGCGATGAATTACCTGAAGCTAAACGAAGACGATATTTGTGTGCTGCGCATGTAGGCGACCTTTGCAATGCGGGAAGTGTGTATGCGCGAGTGCGATCCTTATGATAACATCTGTTGATGGATATTCATGAGTTCAGCGTGTATTTAACGATTCGTTTGAAGAGGTAAGCGGTTTTTCTGCCAGCCGCTGTTGAGAGAAGATCGTGAGTGGTTACGATACCGTGAGTTCCACAATTGGATTTGGAAAGAGTTTCTTTTCTTACCATGGCGGCGAACAAGTTTTGAAGTATTTCTCTGTCGTTGTGTCGCAGAATCGATCCATTCGCAAGAACAGAATGGTCACCGAGAAATATATGGGGCTTATGGAAGAATGTTAAAACTTTGAGAGGAATATGACGGTGAGGATTTCTCGCCCTGTCAGTTTATCATTGTCTGTTCATATCTATCTATCTATCTATCTATCTATCTATCTATCTATCTATCTCAGTATGTTCATTATCTATCTATCTATCTATCTATCTATCTATCTATCTATCTATCTATCTATCTATTCACAATGTTTTCTATCTATCTATCTATCTATCTATCTATCTATCTATCTCAGTCTGTTTATTATCTATCTATCTATCTATCTATCTATCTATCTATCTATCTCATTCTGTTTATATACATCCATATATCTATCTAATTCTGTCCACCATCTATCTATCTATCTATCTATCTATCTATCTATCTATCTCAGTGTGTTCCTATTTATTTATCTATTTATCGCAATGTGTCCATATTAATTTTAACGAGCTTTTGCATAGCTGGAAAGGCGAAGAGATGGATTCATGCCTTTCTCAAGACCTTTAGTGCGAAAGTGAATGCACCAGGCTAGCTCAGAATTTACTGTGTGATCAGGTTCAAATGATTCATGAAAATAAATGTCATTGGAACATAAAAATGCAATTTCCTTTCGGACAAAGACATTAACGATGCGAATATTATAGAATTAAAACGTTAAGTTGTACCGTATATAAGATATTCACCAGTCCAGCAAATTGAAAGAACTACTGAAAACTTATGCATCAGCATTTGACGAAACTTTTATGAATGTGCGATGAATTACCTGAAGCTAAACGAAGACGATATTTGTGTGCTGCGCATGTAGGCGACCATTTGCAATTCGGGAAGTGTGTATGCTCGAGTATCCATCTATTTATATCATTCTGTTAATATCTATCTATCTATCTATCTATCTATGTATATATCTATCTATCTATCTCTTTCTATTCATATCTATCCATCTATCTCATTCTATTCATTATCTATCTATCTATCTATCTATCTATCTATCTGTCTATCTATCTATCTATCTATCTATCTATCTATCTATCTATCTATCTATCTAAGTTTGTTCATATTTATCGCAATGTCCCCATATTAATTTTAGTGAGTTTTTATTTGTCAACTAGCTGGAAAGAGGAAAATATACGTATTCATGCCTTTACCAAGGGCATTAGTGCGAAAGTGAATGCAACAGGATAGCTCGGAATTTGAACGTAGCTTGCCGATTTCATTTTCCGCGCCGATATCCGTAACACTACCGATGCATGTAATGGTTAATGAAGTTAGCCTGGTTGACCATTACTACTATTACTTCGATTCTCACCGAGTGTCACATACAAAATTTGATTTTAATAAACCAACAAAGATTGTCACAAAGGTTACAAACATAACCACTAACCCAAACCCGAAAAAAATTTAACCCAAGCAAGGTGATATAGCCCCTAAGACGCAAAGAGGTTTACTGAGAGTGAAGGAAACGGAGAAAACCTTATTGAGGAGAAAGGACTATGAAAAACAGGGTTCAAGGAGACGGAAGATAACGATTAACAGCGCATTTAAGTTTCTGAACATCAAAGTTGACTGGGAAGCAAAAAGCCGGAAGCGAGTAGCACAGGCGAGAAGTGCGAGAGAAGAAACTGTTAGAATAGAACTTACGATCTTTTTCGTCCAAGGTCAACCGATATCTATCCTCCTTCATAATACTTGAATTGGGCGAACTATCACTAAAGAAAACATCATTCTATATTCATAAATATTTATCCTACGATAAATCATATGTGATTTGTTCTATATGATAAATCATCCTATATGCAAACACAGCATGCTCCGTCGCTGAAGGTTCATCTTAAATGCTGGTAAATCATCTGATATGGCAAATCCTATCTAAACCTTCCTATATGATAAATCATGTGTGATCCTTTCCATATGATAAATTATATGTGATCCATTCTATATGATAAATCATATGTGATCCATCCTATATAATAAATCACATGTGAACCTTTCTATATGGTAAATCATATGTAATCCATCATTTATGATAAATCATATGTGATCCTTTCCATATGATAAATTATGTGATCCATTTTATATGATAAAACATATGTGATCCATCCTTTATGATAAATCATATGTGATCCATCATTTATGATAATCATATATGATCCATTCTACATGATAAATCAGATGTGATCCACCCTTCATGGTAATCATATGTGATCCATTCTATATGATAAATCATACGTGATCCATCCTTTATGATAATCATATGTAATCCATTCTATATGATAAATCATATGTGATCCATCCTTTATGATATTCATATGTGATCCTTCCTATATGATAAATCATATGTGATCCTTCGTATATGATAAATCATCCAGTATGCAGATATAGCATGCTTCCTCTCTGAAAATTTTTCTTGAATATTTTTTTATCAAATGTTGAAATTACTTGTTGAGAATAAGGTTTTAAAATTATGGGAGACATTTGTAAAATGTCAGTGGACTTTTCCTCTTTTTATCTTTAGGCACATAGATAGATAGATAGATAGATAGATAGATAGATAGATAGATAGAATATTGGCTTGCAAGTTGATCGCCTTTAGTTGTAGATCTGTATTGAAGGTGTCAATGTTACACATACAATAAATTTTCTTTGCTTTTTATAGATGATAATATTAAAGTAAAAACAATATAAAAATTTCGTATGTGATAACATATTCCATATGGTCACTGGAGCTGGTTGACATATCATGGTTGATAGGATTTGGCTCGCGGGTTATAGTTGCCGATAGCAACATCAGAAGAACTACAAAAGCTTTTGGATAAATTAGTAAAAGCCACCGCAAATATAGGATTATCAATCAACTGCGAGAAATGTAATTTAATAACCAAATCAGTGGTAATCAGTAAATCGTAGCGCCACTTGAGAATCGGCAATAAATACGTCAAGGAGGTAGAGAGTTTTAATTATCTCGGAAATGTGATTATATTCGGTTGTCACACATGAAATGACACATTTTTTACGTTGGTTGGTTCATCCTGTCGTCTAACGAAGTAACCTCCTTAAGATATCAAAAAATCTTGACTTAGTCCTGACTCTTTTATTTTCCAGATCATTTTTCTTTCAAAATATTGTTACTCATAAGCTCAACGAAAATGATTACAATGAAACAATGTCGAGTAATCTTACTGTAGGAGTACAAACTGGACAAAAGAACCATTTTTACATCAAATCATTACAAGCGATGAGAAATGAATACTCTTTGACAACAGTAAGAGAATAGGCCAGTGGTTACCTGCAAGTGAATCACCAAAACAATACCCAAAACCGCACACTAAAAGATAATCGTTAATGTATGGTGGTCTTTCAAAGGGGTTATTCATTATTCATTTTTGCTTCAAGGGAAAACAATATCTCTCCTACTGATTATTATTTATTTAAGTATTTTGAGCTTTTCATGCGCAATAGAAAATTATCTTATAAGGAAGAGGCAATCAAAGCATTTGAACTGTTTATCACATCAATGAATAAGGATTGTTTTAAAGATAAGATAAAGAATTTAGACCTACGTTGGAGAAGAGTCATTCATCAATATGGTGCCTATTTCAACTGAATAAATTAGTTATTAAACATTTCAGAAGCCTTTTATTCATTGCCTATAAATTGTGTCATTTCCCGTGTGACAACCTAATACAACTGACGCGAGATGTAAAACGAAAATCAGGAAAACGGATTGCAGTTGCGAAAACGAAATTCTCAGGATGTGTGCCAGACTTCTTTTTATGGCACCACCTGTCTAGGATGCTGAATATTCGTCTGTTCAAGTCTTACATATTGTCAATCGTAACATATGGATGCTAACCCTGGATAGAATATCGAAGCAGGAAAAATTTGGTTTTTAAGAAGAATTCTACGAGTATCATATGCAGATAGGGGACTAACGAGGGGGTTTTGAGAAGTGTTGAACTGAAAAGTAGTCTCACTCATGTGCCATGCGTGATACACACTTAAGCGATCATGTATCTTTCGATACATGACAGACGAGGCAGATTTTTTTCCCGTAGTAGGTTTCCATTTCTTTTTGCGGTAGACCAGTTGCCATCCAAGGCTATAGAACCCGGTCTGTCCTGCTATTTACCCGTAGCTGGTGGTGCTGGTGGTGGGGGGCGAGAAGAAGAGGATTCATACCCTTCCCAAGGATATTAGCACATAAGTAAACATAATAGATTTGACTCCATTACGTTTACTTACGGGTTAATATCAACTTTTGAAAAAAAACTATCGATAAAATTTACTACGAACACATGTTTAGTAACAAAATCCCATCCGTTGATGTTGATACACAACTAAAACCCGATGTATTTACCACCTCCCCGTATATATATATATATATATATATATATATATATATATATATAACACCATTACGAACTCTTGTCTTCTAAACTATGATAGCCAATGCCCGGAAAGATATAAAATAGCAGTGATAAAAAACTTCTTAAATAGAATTTCCAAAGAATATTTCTGAGTGAATTAAATCACATAGAACAAACATTAAGTCAATTATGTGCCATACGCGATACACGCTTAGGCGATCATGTATCTTTCGATACATAACTGACGAGGCAGATTTTTTTCCCGTAGTAGGTTGCCATTTCTTTTTGGGGTAGACCAGTTACCATCCAAGGCTAAAGAACCCTGTCTGTCCTGATATTTATCCATAGCTTGGGGGAGAAACGAGAATTCATACCTTTCCCAGGAGAATTAGCACATAAGTGAATATAATGGATCTGACTGGAATTCGAACTCGGCTCTCTGATTTCTCAATCCATTACACCACCATGCCTCCTCTTGATATTACTACATAGATAATTACCTCTTTTAATCTTTTTTGTTTCTGTATCCACATAAAGTCATAACTGGGAGACTGGTTTGACTATATATAAAGAAACCTTTTCTGAAGTCAGTCAGTTATGTGCCATGCGTGATACACGTTTAGGCGATCATGGATCTTTCGATACATGACTCACGAGGCACATTTTTCCCGAAGTAGGTTGCCATTTCTTTCCCAGTCTGTGCTGCTATTTACCCATAACTGGGGAGAGAAGAAGAGGATTCATACCTTTCCCAAGGGTATTAGCACGCAAGTGAATGTAATGGATTCGACTGGAATTCGAACTCGGCTCTCCGATTTCTCAATTCGAGCCGCTATCCATTATTCCACCATACCTCCTGAGAAGGGGTCTACTGTTCGTTATCACAGTAAGACAGCTTCGATTTCTTGGTTCAATTGCCTGAAACGGGGGATTAGAGTGTGTGGCGTTACATGATCACAGCGAGCGAGCCGACGGCAACGTGCATCATATTTAGGTCTTGAGAAGGACAGAGACTTCAGCAGTGCTCACGATTGTACGAGACATGATCGCCCAGGCATGGATAACGGACTACAGCCAACAAGCAGCCTTAGCTGACATACAATTTTCATTCGTCTTTAAGTGTTCATCACTTTTCGGATTATTCTTGATGTCCCTAAGAAGCTGGACAATCACTGTTAATTTTCTTTAACCATATTTCTATTCGATCAGTCACTGTAACGTGGGCATCAATGACAATTGCTATGATTTGTTCAACCTTCAAAGCCTTCTACCAATCAGTTCGGTTCTTATCTGTTTGTATTGAAAAATCCGCCCAAATCTTGAATGTTTCTAACTCAAGGTCTTTCTGAAGTTTATGATTGTACCGTTCTTTTTCTCGCTGAAAACCCAATTTCTCGCGTGATTTGCAATGAATGATTTTGGTAACTTGATCATGTCTACACCATTTATAGCCATTCTGAGCGTAACTTGGGCACTCACAGTGTGTACTATAGCTTTATTGAATTTCTCATTTTTTTCTTAAAAGTGGCGGTATTTCTTCTTCTTTTTCTTCTTCATTATTTATACATCTCCTTTTCTTCTTTTTCTCTTCATTCTTCTCTGCCTCTTTTTCTTCATCTCTAGTGCTTATAACTCGTCTATTTTTCTCCTCCTTTTCTTCTTATTCCTAGTCATTCTTCTTTCCTTCTTTCTTTTTCTTTAGCTGTTTTTTAATCACATTAGAAATATGTTATAGTTTAGTTATCTCTAGGTAGAATCTGTATACGTTAACGTAGTTATTATTATTATTATTTTCTTTGATTTCTGGCGTTTACACATTTCTTTCCGGGTCCTGCCCAGGGACCTAAGGTTAGAAATGGCGTCATAACACTTTCCACTGACAAAAAAAAAAAAAAAAAAAAATTACATAAATAAAGCCCTTCGTAAAGTGTGGGCTTTACTTGTCAGAACAATTTTTTGTATATCCTTGAGGCATGGACTTCCATGAATCCCTTCAATTAGTCTACTGCAATCTTTTCCAACCAGTCCTAGGGCTCCAACTACAACAGGGATTGTTGATGTTCCCATATGCCACATTTTCGAGATTTCTATTTCAAGGTCCTTGTACTTTGACAAGTTTTTGAATATCTTCAAAGATACATTGCAGTCAGCAGGGACTGCCATATCAATAAGGAGGCACTGTTTTTGTTTGTGGTCTTTAATAACAATATCTGGGCGGTTGGCTTTGATTGTTCTGTCAGCGTGTATTTGTGTAGTCCCATAGAATTGTAACAGGTCCTATCTTCGTAACTGGGTCTATTATTATTATTATTATTATTATCTTTTTAGGACTACGTGCTATCTAAGAAACGAAGGATCATGCAAAATCATAATATAATTAGAAAGACTCGTGAAAAGTTCACGGTTTTCCTGCTTGAATTTTCTGATGAATGCAAATACTTAAGTTAATGATAGAATAAGCTCATGACGAGAAAAGATAGGGAGAATTGAGGAAAAGACAAAAGATGAACAGGGTTCAAGAAGATCGAAGATGGCGATTGACGTTGCATTTACATTTTTGAAGATTGTAGTTATCAGGGAAGGAAGAAATCGGAAAGGAGTTTCACAGGCAGGAAGTGCGAGAAAAGAAACTATTGGAGTAGAAGTGGCAGGTGCATTTAGCTATATTAGGCCCGTGAAAAATTCACGGTTTACCTTGTTGAATTTTCTGATGAATATAAATTCTTAAGTTAATGATTGAATAAGAAATTTCCCTATCGCCATTTTTAATATTTGAGCTTAACAACTTTAACAAAATATTGCAATGACAATCATAAATATGAATGCTGGTCGTTATTTTACGAAGTAAGGGGGTACAAATGAAAAGATTTGAAATTGACAACTTTTTCCGTGTCATTGAAACAGACGTTAACCATTTCTATCTTCTTTCCTTACCCCCTTTCTTTCTTTTTCACACTGAAACCAAGTAGAGTTTCTAATATGTCTTTTCCGTCTTTCCACTCGATGAAAACGGAATAGTCCATTACTTATGCGGTATTGGCAGGGCGTAGCGTACGTGCTAACTAAGGAAGAAACGGACACACAGAATTATACTATAATAATAATAATGACTATCAAAATAGAAGGATCTTGAAATGGAAATCTTAAAAATATGACAAATGTGGACATCAGTAATGTCAGCTATAGTTAAAGCCCTGGGATTGATTGGAAAAGGTTCTGATAGACTGATTGAAGAGATTCCTGGTAACCCATGTCTTAAAGAAATACAAAAAAAAAATTGTTATCAAAAGTGCAGCTGACACACTACAAAGAGCTTTATCTATGTAAAATGTGTGTGATCTTTTTTTTTTCTTTTTTTTAAATTAAAATGATCAGTAGAAGATGTCATGATGACATTTCTGACCTTAGGTCTCTGGTTGGGACCCGGAAAGAAATGAGTATACAGCAGAAATCAAAGGAAAATAATAATAATAATAATAATAATAATAGAAGTCTGAGGAAGAATTGAAATCGTCGAGATGGAAGCATTGTTAAAATTAAGAAGAATATTGAGAAAAGTATGCTGTAGTATTGAAGAGATTTGCTTAGCATTGGTCTTCGGCAGAACGGACCACGTATTACGGGATATTATGGGGGAAATCTACAAAAGGACAAATACCTATTTAAGGAAATCTATACGTATAATGAAGAAAGTGCTGGCCTATCGGGGATACTTACTATCACTTCATCTCCAGCGAGAACCATCAGATACTATTTTAGTTTGAAAACACAACGGTTAAATAATAATAATAATAATAATAATAATATTCTAGAAAATGATATTAACATTACCTGAACCAGTCACAGAACGCCATAAGGCAACTATTCTTTTGAATTTTACTGACAGGCGTAGTATAAAAGCTAACAGACCAGATACCGTGATTAAAGATGACAAAGAAATGCTTCTTATAGATATTCTAGCGACATCAGATACAAATAGATGTATTAAAGAATATGACAAACAAAAAGTAAATTAAAATCTTGAAATTGCAATGGAAAAAATGTGGCACCTTAAAAATACCGTTTTACTTAAAATAATTGTAACCCCGCGTGCAATCACAAACAGGTAAGATTAACAAATCCCTGTCAGGCCCTGCTTATTTTTTCTTCTTTTATGTGCCGTGTCCCTTCAGGACGTAGGCGATCATGGCCCTCCATATCTTCCTGTCCCTTGTAGCTCTTAATAAGTTTTGTCTTTTTGTTCTTTCTTCCAGTATCCATTAACTCAAGTACATCAACGCGCTGTTTTCCTTTGTTCCTCTTGCCCTCAATTTGTCCCGTGAGTATCAGATTTTCCAAGCCCTCCTTCCTCATTACATGTCCCAGAAACTTCAATTGCCTCTCCCTGATGTTAAGTAAAAGTTTTGTTTCCATTTTCTCCAAAACCTCGTCGTTGCTCATTTATTCAGTCCATGATATCCCCAACATCCTTCTGTAGAGGCACATTTCTGTTGCTTCAAATCTGTTCTTCATCTTAAAGGAGATTGCTCAGTATCACGTAACAGTTCAATACTCTTTTCTTTGTTTCTAACTTTTATTCCAAATAGAAGTTACAAAGAAAATTTTTGTCTCTTAATACTCTGCTTAGCTTTTGGAATGCATCTTTGGTCATCCCAATCCGTCTTCGGATCTCAGTGTCGCATTTTCCGGCCTCTGTTAGAACACTTCTAAGATATTTAAGTTTTTGTACTTTTAATCATTTCAACCCAAGCAATGTGGAAATGCTACTAGTACGCAGTGGGTTACAGAAAGTGAAAGTGAAAGTGAAAGACGGAGTATATCGAGGATTTAGGAAAGGATAAAATATTAACGGGGTCCAAGAAGATCGAAGATGGCGATTAACGTTGCATTTACATTTCTGAAGATTGTAGTTATCAGGGAAGGAAGAAATCGGAAAGGAGTTTTACAGGCAGGAAGTGCGAGTAAAAGTATTGGAGTATAAGTGGCAGTTGCATTTAGTTATCTAGTAAACAGATAGGACTTCGATTCCAATCTAGTAGCACGCTTAAATTCATGTAGTCAGGGCACTAGGGAAAAAAAGATCGTTAAAGCAGTTGGCATGAAAATATTTGTAGAAAAGACGGAGGGAAGCCACGCCACGTCAATGAGAAAGTGACTGAAGTCGAGATGCCAGGTCAGGATCGATTACACTGCAGATCCTCCTTTGGGTTTTGTCAAGAATCTGGAGATGAATAACACCAGACCAGATATGGCAGCAGTATTCAATGCACGGATGAATGTTAGATTTGTAAATGTGCAAGATGGATTATGATGAGAAAAACCTTCTGGCACGACAGTGACCCAACATTCCTTGCAGTAGATGCAGCTATTGTTTCGATGTAGTCACGCCACTTCAAGCCGGTTGAAAACATGAGGCCAAAAAGTCGTAGTGTGTTGCTCTCCAGGAGGCTAGCGTCAGCCATGCTGATGACTGGCAGAAAAGTTTCTCTATAGTTGCTAAAGGAAAGCAGTATTATTCTAATATCTTCACCTTGTAAATGAAGCGTTTCTAGTATTTCAAGTAGTTCTTCATGTGGGACAGTATCAAATTTTGTTTGATTTTAGTATCCCCGGTTTGTAATTTGCACTTTGAGCTCATCCTTTTACTGATAAGCATGCATTATGTCTTCTTGTAGTTTATACTTAGTCCTTTCTACTTGCTTTTCTTCGCTAGGGGCGTTTGTAGTTTTCTTTCCGTTTCTACTATCAACACTGTCACAAGAGATTAAAACAAATTGCATTGTGGAACAGCTTATCTAATCAGCAGAGTGGGATCAATAATTGTATAGAAAATATAAATGCTGTACACGTTCAATATTATTTAACGCTAATATTTGCGCAAACAGAATGCATATATTTACTGCCTTGTCTTTTATTAGGACTTGGGCAAGGAAGCAGTAAGAGATTGTTTTGAACAGAAATCAAATAATAATAATAATGGCTGAGGAGCACCGGGCTAAAAACCGAGGCAGAAGGCCTAATTATTGCAGCTCAGGATCAAAGCCTCGCAAACAGATCCTATTACTCTCACATAATCAAGGATAGAACTAACCCGAAATGCAGGATCTGCGGAAAATGTGATGAAACTGTCGACCATATTATCTCAGGATAACGGGAACTGCAAAACAAATGAATATACCCACAGGCATAACAATATAACGATATATGTGCACTGGAAAATACGCAAGAAGCACAAAATCGAAACCACTGAGAGATGGTATGAGCACCAACCAGACAAAGTTACCTAAAATAACAATGTAACTATCCTCTGGGACATGCCAATTCAAACTGACAGAGAAAGAAAAGCTAAAAGAACTGATATTATCATAAAGGAGAGGAAATTCAGAAAGTGTATGCTTATTGACATACAGTACCATCTGAGAGAAACACCTCCATAAAAAATCATCGAGAAATTGTCCAAATACAAGAACCTGGGCATCGAGATTAACAGGATGTGAGGAATGAAGACTGAGACTGTACCAATAGTAATCGGAGCTCTGGGCCTTGTGAGAAAAGGAATGGACAATTTTACTAACAGTGTCCCAGGTAATATCAACATACAAGTTGCCCAGAAGATCGCCCTACTAGGAGCATACCATATACTAAGTGCTATCAATTAAATGACAATTTTCCTATAGGGCCTAAAGACCATAGTTTGAACCCGGCTCTACAAGATACAAAACAGGAAACCTAACACACACAAATAATAATAATAATAATAATAATAATAATAATAATAATAACAACTAGAAATATACGAGAAAATTTCACGGTTTTCCTTTTTGAATATTCTTATCAATCTTAATTCTTAAGTTAATTGTTGAATAAACTCATGGCGAGTTCTACGACAATAAATTATCCGTAGAAATTCCCCTATCACATCTTTCACGACTTTAACAAAATATTGTAATAAGAATCATAAATATTGATGTTGGCCATTATTTTAAGAAATGAACAGATTTGAAATTGACAATTTTTTTCTATTTCTCTGAAACAGTCATTAAAGACTTATATCTTTCTTTCTTTCTTTCTTTCTTTCTTTCTTTCACTGAAATCAAGTAGTGTTTTTCCCGCTTTCCTCGCGATCAAAACGGAATAGTCCATTATTTATAAGTTATTGGCAGGAAAACGGGCGAACTAACGAAGTGAGGGACAAGCACAACAACAACAACAACAACAATAATAATAATAATAATAATAATATAAAAAATAATTTCTAAAAAGTGGCGAAATTTCTAGCAAATGTTAAGTGTGTAGAAAAGTTTTCGCTATTATTCATTTTTAATGAAAAAAACTGTTTTCAACAATTTATTCAATCTCTACTTTATAAAATGAAGATGACACTGTCAACTTTTGTACACACTAAATATAATGGAAAATTGGAGAATAGGAACAACTAAAAGCTGACAATCTCTATCACTCTTTTTACATTTAGTTTATTCCTTGTACCTTACTAAACTAAATCCCGTAAACATATTAACAATCCTAAAATTAAAGAACACCAATTTAAAAAAAAACTTTATGGCTTTTTTAAAATTCAGGAATTCCATGGTTAAACGTATCTCAGATTTAAGTGTGGTAATTAACATAATAGATGATCCCCTCCCCCACTCTTGGCCCTGGGGTTGAAGATTTCACGTCTTCAGTCATTCGTTTACCTTGATGACATGGCATTAAACTGATAAAGAAGATTTTAAAATTTGAAGAATTTTTGCCACTTCGTAATAGAGAGAGAGAGAGAGAGAGAGGGAGAGAGAGAGAGAGAGAGAGAATGAGAGATCAGAAAGAAAGAAAGAAAGAGGTGGGGAGAGAGAGAGAGAGAGAATGAGAGATCAGAAAGAAAGAAAGAAAGAAAGAGGTGGGGAGAGAGAGAGTGAGAGATAGAGAGAGACATTTAAAGAAAGGAGAGTGAATGAAAGATAGAAAGAAATATTAAGAGACGGAAAGAGGAAACATGACTAGAAATTATGAGAAAGAGAGAGAAATACAAAGAGAGAAAAAGAAAGAAAAGGAAAAAGGAACACAAAGACAGTGACAGAGACGAGAGATAGATAGATAGAAAGACGCAGAGAGAGAGAGAGAGAGAGCAAGATGAAGAGAGAGAGAGAGAGAAAGAAAAAGAAAGACAAAAAGAAAGATAGGAAGAAAGAGAAAGGGAAATAGAGAGATCGATACAGAGAAAAGCAAGAGAGAGAAAGAAAGTGAGAGAAAAACGAACAAGCGGAAAGAGAGAGAGAGAGAGAGATAGAGAGATCAGAAAAAAGAAAGAGAGGAGGAGGAAAGAAATGAAGAAAGAGAAGGAGAGAGCGGAGAAAGACGAAGAAAAAATGGAAGAAAAGAAAACGGAGAAAATGAGGTAACGTTGTTTTTTTTTAGTTTTCTAATGGAGCTGACTTAATTATTTCATGGCAAATAATTAAAGACCACTTATTGCTTGGTTAATTTCCGATAACCCTACTACTACTACTACTACTACTACTATTAATCATGATAGTTGCTGTCAATTTAATAATAATAATACTCATGATACATACTACTACTAACATTATTATTCTTATTACTACTATTCTCCTTTTCTTCTATGCGTTGTGTCACTTCAGAACGTGGGTGATCATGGCCCTCCACAAGTTCCTGCCCTTTGCAGCGCTTTGTAAATTTTAGTCTTGTGTTATTTCTTATAACTATTCTGCTAGCCATTTACAGACGTTTGTTTGGTAGGTCTTCCTTTGACCGTCTTGCCTTCATTATCTCATGTGAGTGTCAAATTTTCTTAGCCTTCTTTCCTCATTATGTAACCTAAACATTTCATCTGTCTCCTATATATGTTTATATTGTCATACACGTAATTTAATTATATACGTTCTTTTCGTTTCCATTTCCCTTAAAACTTCCTCGTTGCTTACATGCTCGGTCCATGGTATTCTCAGTATCCTTCTGTAGATCTACATTTTCTGTTGCTTCAAGTCTTTTCTTCATTTGTGAAGAGATTGTTTAACACTCACTGTCATATAGGAGGATCGATAATACGTAACAGTTCGGTATTATATTCTTGGCTTCTATCGAAATTTTCCTGCTTCTTAATACTTGGTTTAGAGTTTGGAAGGCATCTTTGCTATTCCAATGACCCTTCGTATTTCGATGCCACATTTACCGTGTAGTCGTGTTGTTTATCGCTTTTGCAATCATTATAATTATCATTAATTTGAATCTCGTTTGCTTTCGATGTCTCGCTGGGAAGTAATGACTGGTAGTATTGTATCGCAGACAATTACTTTGGTTTACTCGATGTAGCGACACTGTGCCATACCAAAAAAAAAAAAAAATTGTCGCAATTAAGTAATGTTTTAATTTGTGTTGAATCATACTTCCACCCATAAACTCAACTTTACTGTCGCTAGTAACAAGGAAAACTAGGGAAGATTACTGAATAGAATAATCAAACGGAGGTTGGTAATGAACGATAATACTTAGGACACGAACAACACATATAAGATTCGTCATATTTGAAAATCTATCAGCAACAATTAAAATGTACAGCACATTTAACTAGAAGGGAAAGTAATAACATAATCATAGACTTTCTACACTGCCTAAAATATATGCCATGAATGATTGACAGAGGAGTGGTTTTCCGATGGATTCTTCACGGTGATTTTATTGAGACACTATCTCTAGTTAACTAATCGTTGACTCTTGAAGAGTTCTCCCACGCTTTGATAGGTCTTATTTTTTTTTTATCGTACACGATTGCAATAGACTCGCCTCACTCGCAATACATTGATGTTAGGGAACCGAATTTAATTTTAAATTTGATCTATTCTAAAAACGTTATAAAGTAGCAATTACTTTCAAACTGTTTGATTATGTATTGTATAAAAATCTTAAACGAAGAAAAGTACATTGAAAGGTTATGTAATTTCAATCCTTCTGTATAGCAGTGAATGCTGGACAATCTCCTCAAAGATGCAGAAGAGACTTGAAGCAACAGAAATGCGGTTCTGCAAAAGGATGCTGAGAATACCATGGACCGAACATGTAAGCAATGAGGAAGTTTTAGAGAAAATGGAAACTAAAAGGATACTTGTAATTAACATCAAAGAGACAATTGGAATTTATAGGGCGCATTATGCGAAAAGAGGGCTTGGTAAATATGACACTCACAGGACATATTGAAGGCAAGAGCGAATAACCTACCTAACGAGCTTGTCTAAAGGGATGACAGAACAGGGTTTATGGGAGAGAGAAAAAATTACTAAGAGTTACAAAGGACATGAAATAGTGGAGAGCCATGATCGCTAACATTCTGAAGGGGCATGGCACTTAGAATAATAATAATAATAAGAAGAAGAAGGCGAAAAAGAAGAAGAGGAATATTTTTCCAACGATAAAACAATTTATTAAGTATTAGACACATTTAAATATCGTAATATTTAATATTACTGATTGTATATTTAATCAAGTGCAGTTTTGGTCAAAAGGTTCAAGATCACCAGATAAAAATTAATATTTCTCTATTATTGCTGGAAATTGCATCACTCACAAAAAAAAAACTTCAATTACAAGCCTTATGACACCATTTTCAAGTTTGAAAGACTGTAACAGAGAATTTTGGCTAATTTGAAAGCCAAGAAGTTGTTTTAGAAAATAGTTTTTAGTATACATTAAAAATGGACCCAAAATCTTTTCCTTTCTGACATTCAAAGAGTTCGAATAGTAGCATTACATATCGAGGGGTTCTCAGAACTTGAAGTCTCAGTCCAAATGTGTTATAGAAAGATTAGAGTTCACAGTGATATCGCCAAGTATCAAGCTGATTGGCTTTTATTCTGAACAAAGGAAGAGGGGACATCCCCCAAAATCAATCCCTACAAGTTCATGCTAAAAAAAAAAAAAAAAAAAAAATCGAGCTGACTTGATTTTCTGATTTTCAAGGGCACAGATGTAAATCGTGGGACTCAAATTGATCCATGAATTTCAACTAAGATCCCGAAAATATCATCAAAATCCAAGAATGGAAATGAAAAAAAAAAAAAAAAACTTCATCGGACTAAATTTGATTATGTTGGTAGAACAACACATGAGCATGACAGAGGGAATTTTTTAATAATTTAAAATTTTTTATCTAGCCGAATTCATTTAGAGTACTTTTTTTTCTTTCCATGACTTTTGTAAGTATTCCACACCGTGATATTTGAAGATCTACCAGTAATGGTGAAATATTGTAAGACCCACGGAACACGTTTACTGTACATGACTTTGCGATTAAGGCACTCTCTAGACATTTACGTCGTAGTGAATTATTTTCTCCTTTGATCAGAGTAGCATTTTTTGTGTCAAAATTGTGGTCAGTCTCGTTACGGTGGGAAATCGCCCCCAAAAGCATGAACATTAGCCAGAGGAATAAAAGAGAAACGTAATGTTCTCTGATGAATCCACACTGCAGAAGATTGTTGTGCGTCAGCATTTTGTCAGAAGGTCTCCAGGAAAGAGATAGGATGAGAAATATACCATAAGAAAAGCTATGAAACACCGACCAAGTCAGATGTTTTTGGAAGTGTTGGCTTATACCTCCTGGACTCCGGAACAACCAAAAATGGTCAAAAGTGTCTGGGATCGTCGCAGGATAAACTAGATATGTATATACTGCACATGGTTGCAGTAAATGTCTGAATGATAGGGCTATATTGATTGATTGATTCGTTTTTTACCGCTTATCAACTCTTTGCAGGTTATTTAAAGCCAGAAAATATTTTTAGATTGCAAGAATTTTTTTTTTAGATAATAATGGTTTAGTGACACAGATCTTAATCACAAATACTAATTAACCAATAGCAAGGGGGGAAGAGGTCGATTCATAGATTTCCTAATAGTATTTGCGCGTAAGAGAATATAACGAACCCAACGGAAATTGGAACCCGGCTCTCCGATTAATAATTCAGAGCCATTATCCATTACACCACCCGCACATCTAAGCCTAGAGAATGATTTTATTTTCACTTTAAACTGAATGTATGAATTTTTTGTATGCATCTAGAGTTATAAGAATGATTTTATTTTCCAATGGTCAGCACACACACACACACACACACACACACACACACACACACACACACACATACATATATGTTGTGGTGTCCTCCCTCTAAAGAGTCTATGTTGGACTCTTCCGCTTACTATAAGAATAGTAGGAGAGAAGGCCTTTGGGGAACAGTCGAATAGATTGAACGCTGGGTCAAGCGACACACTAGTCGTGTAATACTCATCTGTTGTACTTACTGTTTAATATAATATATCTGCAACACTTGTTTTGTTATTTCTTTAACCATTTACTTGGTCACAACAATATATATATATATATATAAATATATATATATATATATATATATGTATGTATGGTGAAAAAGATGAGGACAATAGTCCGAATAATGTAAATAGTGTACATAATACCTCCTCTCAGAAATATAGACAGATACTTAATTTTTCTTGTCTTAAGTTTTTTCTATTCTGGACATAAAGTGTGTAAAAATTGTCTGAATGTTTTGTATATCCGAGCATATTCGGTCAGTTTTTTAGCCATTTAGTCAAGGATGACTTTCTTTACTTTTAATATTGTTGTATTTATCTGGATGTTCAGAGATGCTATTGTTTACTTTAGAAACAAATAGTTTAATTTGGTGATCTATGAGATAATTCGGAACATCGTTATTAACTAGCGTCTTTTTCGCGTAGTTGAATTCTTTAAAGAAAAGCCGACGAGAGGATGAATTCTCGTATACTCGCTTGAGGGATGTTTGTATAAAGCCTATTTTTTTTTTTTATCTAAGTGAACATTCACTAGCAATTTGCTGCTGCCCTTTGTGAGAAGTAGTTTTTTTAATGAAACCTGTATGTAGGAGGGATTGCTACCCAAATACACACACACACACACACACACACATATATATATATATAATGATGGATTCTCCCGCCGATTTTGACGTATGAAGATCCGACAACCTCATTCAGGTTTTATGTTTGCGTCGTATGTGCAACAGCGAGAATTTCGGGACATAACAACAGTAATATTATTTTTTGCTGTTGTCTTTTGTCTCTTAGCTGGTCAATACGACTTCTTTCGAAATTTCTGATACTACTTTAGCACAAATATCCCGGGCAACTCGAACGGCAATCATTCTTATTCTCGAATCAGATTACCGTTCGTTTTTTTAATTTTTTATTCTGCTAAACGCTATACAAGTATGTATTTTTAAAATGACTAATCTCTTGAAATTATTTTCACATCTATAGTAAATAAAATCGTAACTTAAAAAAAAAAATGAATATTAAAACAATAAATTTAAAAGGAGAAGAATATTAAATACAGTAATTTGACAAAAAGTT